GCTTTGTTTGGGGAAGGGGATGGGGTGAAAGTAATATAGTAACTTAACTAGTTACTTTTACCACCCAGTAATAAGTAAAATAATATTATTACTTTTTTAATGAGTAATAAGTAACTAATTACTTATTACTGCAGACCGTTGTAGAGATGCTCTGATCTTCCATTTTTCCTGCTTCTAACACATTCCCGATCCTGTCCCACTTTTGAATATTTCCAGTTGCTCAGACAAACACAACAAACAATGAAGGTTGCCATTATGGTTTCATCTGCGTATACTCTAACTGTAGTATACAGAAGCATGTGTGTCCATGTGCAACAAAAATAGGGCTCTTAAATTGATAAACTGCCTCTTTAACCATTGATCAAAACCCTCCCCAAATATAAAACCTGAGATTTTATGCTGAGAGTTTGACAGTTTTAGACTTGATCTTGCCTTTTATCCTCAGCAGGGTGTTGGTTATGTTTGTCTCCTCGTCATCGCTGAGTTCACAGGTGTATATCCCCTCCTGTTTCAAAGACAAGTCTTGTAGTGTGAGGCTGCCTGACTCAGACACACCCTTCACCTGCTGCCTCCACTCCTCTGAGACTGTGTAGGGGACGCTGGTCCTGGTCCGGTTCAGGATGATCTGACTGTGGTTGAATCTCCAGACGAGGCTGAAATTCAGAAGGGAAGTGTTTGAGGCAGAGCAGGGGATTGTTGTGTCAGAGCTGGAACCATCGAGAGAAGCTGGAATAATACAACACAAAACAATAAATGAATAAACAGATCCAAACACTTGTGAATGAAATCTTTCTAACAGTAGTTTGTTGTTGTGTTGTTGCAGGAAATGTGACACCAACCTGGTTTATTGGTTTAGTTGACAGATTAGACGTAATACTCACTCAGTTCCCTCAAAGTGGCTCTCCTCCTGTTCCTGCGAGTGCTGACGGTGCAGCTGTAGACCAGATCAGTAACCCTGTCTGAAAGTATCAGAGAGCTGTTGATGTTGTAGAGCAGCTGTTCAGTCTGCTGGACTCTGGTTGTGTTCTTCAAGGCCACGTTGGACGGAGGTCTGGTGGACCAGGTGAGTTCAGGCTCAGGGTAGATCCCCTCTGAGCTGCAGGTGATCCTGTTTTCTTCCTGCTCCATGTCGACTTTATGGACCGGAGCTGCAAAAACAGAGATCTTGATGCTGTATGAACAGATGAATTTACTAATAATTTAGGTCAAATATTTACTTTTAAGTCACAAATTTGGCAGCACAAATACATTTAGAAATCTACGGAACTTAAAGAAAATCATTAACAAGAACGTTGATGGTTTTGTGTATCTACTGTGTGTTTCTCGTACCGTCCACTTGTAGGTTGATAAATGATTCCTTGTTGCTATTGATTGTGCTGGTGTAGCACTTGTATCTCCCCTGGTCCTGAACCTGGACCCCAGTCAGCTGGAGCGAGGAGTTTCCTCCAGAGATCTGGTCCTTGAACAGTGATGTCCTGCCTCTGAAGTGCTGGCCTTGGTGTCCCAGCTGGTCTCGGTTGTAGTAGTAGGAGTGGACAAGAGTGTCTCCTGCTGTCACATGATACCAGTGGATGACTGCATCAGTGCCGCCCTGGAAGCTGCACGGTAAGATGCAGCTCTCCATAAAAACACAGGACACCTCAGCATCTGCAACACATCAGGTACAAACAACATCCACATTATCTCTGAAGTTCGAAAAGTATAAATGAAGGCTTTTGTTGGTTTACATGATGATACACAGACAGGCCACAGACGGACAGTTTGACTGAAGGAAACAGCACCAGGAGATTTAACATTACAGCGTCTGTGACCAGGACTCCGTCTCCTGGGACGGCGAAGACACGGTAGGTTCAGGAGAGGCATCAAGCGAGAGAGGAGTGGGAGCATGGCCAGGAAAAGGGGCAGCTACAGTGTGTAGAGCCAGAATATTTTCACGTCTAACTCTGTGAATTAAGGGTTTATTTCCACAAAACCAGATTTAGGCTGCGTCTGAAAAGTCTTTTTTGCTCAGGATGGTTCCTAACTGAGTGGTGACCCGGAAATATTTCAGTGGCCAGCCATGATCGAATTCTCTAAAAGCTAAAGAAAGGGGCCTCAGTGCTTCCTTTCATATCTCCTTTAGCATAGGGTACATCGGACCATCCTTTACGAAAGAAAAGGATGGAATGCCGTCCCACAATTCCTTGCGGTGGCAACGTTTAAAACTACGCACGTTCTCAAACGGTAAAATCCACTGACCACATTTAACAAAATCCTTGCAATACAGATGCACATTATGATACCTGAATAAGACTCACAATTTCTGTTTTATTTTGGTTTGTCTTCTTTTTGCTGTAATCTGATGCTGTTAAATACCGTTTTGTGTTGGATTGTTGAAATAAGCTATTCTTGTATTAAAATTTTCTACAATTAAAAAAAAGAAATCTCCGACTATGACCGCTAAAGGATGTTGATCAAGTTACCATTGGTTACTAAGCCTTTTCTCTGACCCATGCGAGCTATGTTAGGCTACTGTAAAATGCCTTCAGCAATATCATTAACTAATTTTACTTCAGTCACACACCATCGCCTTAATAAAGGCGATAATCAGTCAGCATTGACGGCATTATGAACCACCACACAATGATTTTCAATTATTGTTTTTTTATTAGGCAATCGGTAAAATCGTGTTTGATCACAGAGCTGCGTGCAGAGTACATATTTGCTCAACACCTTCTCTCGCTTGGTTGGGCACTCTCTCACCATAGTTACTGCCTCATTCTGTGGGAAACACTGTTTACATACAATATTAAACAGGATGGTGAGTGTGAGCAAGCATTCTCAATGTGACAGCCCTTTCCATTATTTTGTGTCTGCTACCCGAAAGCCTAGGCCTTTTTGCTGTCTTGATTATTAAGCTAATATTCCACAGTGTTGTTCACCTTTAGATGGCCTGCATTAAAGCAACACGGGGCTTCTGAACATTGTAGTTTCATCACGGCAGGTCTGCCGTCACATAATTATGTCTCCTAGAAAAGACCAGTCGGATTCTTTGAGCCCAGCGGTCGTCTTTTCCTGAGTCCTTATGAATTCTCCTTCACATCTTTCCTTGACCTCATGACATTTTCCATCGAGGTCAAGGAAAGGAGATTTTTTTAGACTTTTTGGACGCAGCCTTAAAATTGAGCAATACAATTCAGCAACCCTCTATTTCCATGAGAAGGATCCAACCAATCTCACCTGATCTCACTCACTCCTAATCAATGTCTACTTAATAAGCTCCACCCATTCCCTTTGTTCTGGCGGACAGCAACATACACCACACGTGAGGGCCCTCTGTCTCTGTGATTTAGATACACACCTATGGTTGTACGAGATTAAAAAAAAACATAACCTAGGGAAAGATTTTAAGTGTGTTCCTTCGAGCCGGAGCCTGAACGTTGTTCTGTTAAAAAAGAAAAACAGGTGAAAGATTATTTCCTTTCTTGATATTTTGTGAGTATATTTAGTTGTGCGAGAGGCCTGAGCTGTTACTATCAGACAAGTGAAATTACAATGCAGGTATGCATTCTTTTCCTGATGTGGATTTCAGAAAGAACTAATGTGTTTCGATGCAAATCAGAATAAGTTACATTTGATCATCAATAAAGAAACAATATATTAATAAACCAAAGAAATTATCAAATGTGAAATGTAAAAAATGAACGAACAAACCCATGAAGTATGGGTTCTTTTTTCCAAGGAACAATTACTAAAATAGTACAATTATTTAATGTATTTCTCAGTTTCCAATGGTTGTACTCAGTTTGTGGCATGAGGAGATATATTTTGCTGCAATGATTTGGCATTCCTCCTAGTAAATAGGGGAGTTTCTGTTCTGTGATATAAATTTAGGGTATATTAGGGAAATCTTTGCGACGTGTCTCTTAGTGTTTTATATTTAAGGCACAGAAAGTGCAGCTCTGTCTCTACCTGTCTTCTGTCACACTGGGAACAGAGTCTCTCCTCTTGTGGTAGCCAGCTCTGTCTGTGGCCCTTTTCTATGGCCAGGTTTTATTTATCATTATACAATCATTGTATCATATAACACAAGGAAGTTTGTAGTCCCTTCATGCTACACACAGAACAGATAGACTAAATATATATGTATTAAAATATATAGTAACATATAAAATAATTATAAATAACTGTTGTTTTATTTTGAGTACAGTACACCTACGACATTCTGCATGAATGCATGAATGTAAACAGCAACAACAAGATGACCTGATTTCATCTTCACTCTAATAAGTCTGACATTTGGGAAACAGACTCCATCTTGTTTGAGCACCAAACATCAGACTCCACCTCCTCTAATCTTGCACTCTGTCTGCTCAGAACAAGGTCCATCTAGCGAGCGCTGGATCCGATTTATTGATGCGCATGTCTCTGTAAAGATGTGGGCACAACAGTCTCTGATTTCAGTTGCTTGGCTAATCTGAGTCCCATTTCATCCAGCCTTATGTCGATGCCTTTGAATGATATATGAATCTACTAAAAAGAGACTGAACCTTCGTTGTAGCCTAAAAACACACTGTCAGAATGCAGTTGCAAAACAATTTGTGAGCTTATTAATGTATTACTACCCACACTGAAATTAAATCATGTCCATTTTCACCCCACCCTCTTTCTTGGCTTCTTTGTAATGGAGTAAAAAGGCTCTGGATGCTCTTAGTTTATTCGATTATCTGTGTATCTCTAAAGTAAAATCTTCACTCACCTCCTTCTGCAGGAGATAACAGCCAGAGAAAACTCCAGACCACCAGACACACGGCACACCCGGCCACCATCTTGTGGATTAAGATGGTTTGTTCCTCCACATAAACATCGTCTCGTTCTCTAAACCAGCAGAAAATCTTCAACAAAATGAAATAAAATCAGTTCATCATGCAGGATGATTCCAGGCTACAGATCAATAAATGATGGAGATGATAAAAGACCATTAAATTAGAGTAGACCAGTGTTGGAATGTACAAAATAAGTACATTTACAAAAGTACTGCGGTTAAGTACAAATTTGAGGTACGTTATTTGAGTAAAGTGGAATTTGTACTTCACTACATTTTTCTGACAGGTTGTTTTATTTTACAGTGTCACTTTTATAAACAGAAGAATTTGTAAACCATAATGCTTTGTTATAAATTAAACTTCCCTTTCTGTTTTACCTTGTGTTGTTTTGCTTTTGAGTTCCTGTCACCTGAACCTTAATCTGTTGTAAACAATTCTGTAAGTCAATTCTGCAAGTCATCCTGCAGTTTAATGCTACGTTCCAGGCAACTCGGAACTGAGAAATGTCCAAGTTGAAATCTCTGACTTCCAACCTCAAAGTGTTCCACCAGATGCATGGTGGTGTCTGACGCCGAAAGTGAACAAAACCATGACAAATTCTTTGTCAAGTGTACCCCCAGTTGCACCCTCAGCTCTGTCCTTGGTGTTAATTAAAAATATGGCCATTTTAATGAAAACAAGTGACTGAAGTGGTAATCTTCAAAATGTTGACCATTATACTTCCTAATGCTTTCAAATGTTTTGACATTTTACTGAATAACTTGTGCAAAGAAGATGACCTAGTGATTCTTTAGTGTTACCAGCTACCTACCAATATATTTCTACATCAATTTACCGGCAGAACGGTTTTTTGTTACGGTGGGTGTGGGTTGAGGACCCAAAGGCGACTGGTGCAGTTCAGTAATTTATTTAATGCAACAAAAAGCGAGCACACTTACATACTGAGTGGCTGAGTCCAGAAAAAGCCCAATGAGAAACAAAACAGAAATCCACACAGGTAATCCAAAACGTCAAGGGCAGAAAAACAAAACTAGAGTCCCAGGGGTTCAGGTGAGGCGAACAGTTCAGGAGGCCGACCCGGAGGACGACCCAGGAGGCCCGGCAGATCAGGGGAGCAACAGAGTTTGGGAGGACGTCCCGGGGGACGACCCAACAGGAAATCAGGGGAAAAACAGAGTTCCGGAGGACGTCCAAAAGAACAAGGGCTCACCTGAGGCCAGACAGGTGACCGATGAAGGCGAGATCTCTCCGGATCCGGAGGTTGGCGGCGGAGGCGAGACCTCTCCTAATGCTGAGCTGGAGGCCGACGACGAGGACGGAACCTCCCCGGGCGCCAGTGACGATGGTGAGACCACTCTGGAGGTCTCAGCAGGGGTCGCAGACGATGGCAGGGAACCACCAGAGGCCGAAGAAGGTGAGGCCTCTCCGGAGTTCAGGCTGGAGGCCGGTGTGGGGGTCTTGGGACCTCAGGAGGCAGAGCTGCTGGGCTGAGGGCCACGGACTGAGCTGCTGGGCTGAGGACCATGGGCGAGACTGCTGGGCTGAGGACCATGGACCGGTCACGAGGAGCTGGAGTCGGCCTGACCACGGACACAAAAACCACATTCCTAACAGTTTTACTATATGATAGTATTTATACTTTTAATTAAATACATGCAAATATGCTTTATGGTGCCAGGTTATTGTTTACCATTTACAACGTGTGCTTCTATGGGAGCTGCCTTTGTTGTGTGACATCATTCAGCTGCTTCTCATGAAGTCAGGGTATATTTTTTCTCCAAGTTCACTAGTAGGAAATCCGACATAAGGTAGAGTTCCAAGGTACTTTTTCCAGTTGGAGGTCGGAAATTTACGAGTTCCCAGTTGCCTGGAACGCAGCAAAAATATGTACCCTGACTTGGCAAGTCAGACATTTTAACTTGGCAATTTCCCAGTTCCGACCAGTCTGGAAGGCGGCGTAAGTCAGCTCTTGGTTCCTGGGTGACACATTATGTAATTTGTGCTGTAAAAACATTTGATCCTTCTCACATCTGAAGATCTTCTGATTTTCCTCTGACTGATTGTATAATTGTGATGTTTGTTAATAATGTTGAGGTTTGAACACAACAAGGACTGTGAAGGTGTCACTTTGGGCTCTGGGTAACTGTGATGGCAGAATCTTTACAAACCAAACAACCAATGGATTGATGGAGGAAATAATCAGCAGATTGATCCAGAATAAAAACAATCACAGCTGCAGTCCAAATAATTCAATAAGCTCCAGCTAAACAACAGGCTTAATGTGATTTACTAGGGAACCAGCAGATGGCAGTATTTAATTTGCCATCTGCTGAGACCCGATGACCAGGATTTCTGTTTTGTCTGAGTTCAGTTGGAGGAAATTATTTGACATCCATTTTTTAACTTCAGAAAGGCAGTTGTTAAGTGAACTCAGCATTCCAGGGTCTGTGGATCTGACGGGCAAGTATATTTGTGTGTCATCAGCATAAATATGAAAAGAAATGCCATGTTTATGGATAATATGTCCAAGGGGAAGCAGATACAAAGAAAACAAAATGGGGTCCTAAGACCGACCCATGAGGCACACCATATTTAACTGGACAGAACGAGGAGACATAGTTACAGTTTACAGACATGCAAAACTTCCTATTTGACAGGTAGGATGAAAACCATTCTAGGGCAGTACCAGAGATCCCCACCCAGTGCCTCAGTCTGTCTAACATGATGTTGTGATCAATGGTGTCAAAAGCAGCGCTAAGGTCCAGGAGTACAAGGACTGAGCACATGCCTTCATCAGCAGACATTCAAAGGTCATTGGTGACTTTAAGCAGGGCAGTCTCAGTGCTGTAGTACTTCCTAAAACCAGACTGAAACTTTTCAAATATGCTGTTTGGACACAATTCTTTCTAGAATCTTTGCAGTAAAAGGCAGTTTTGAAATTGGTCTAAAATTATGTGGGAGGGAGGGATCTAAACCAGGTTTCTTTAAAAGTTGGTTCACACAAGCTGTTTTAAAATAATCAGCAACACAACTAGTAGATAGGGAGCTGTTGAAAACAGATCAAATGGGGCCCAACAGAATCTATTACTAAAACTTTGTAGGTATTACATCAAGTGAAACCATGAAATGTTTACAAAAACAGGTCCAACCTCAACGGTGCAGTACAACTTTATTGATTACTAAAATCTCCCGACAGGATTGTTTGGGCCCAGCCTAGGGTCAGGATCTGATGTTAATAATGTTCTGTGTTCTTCTACACATTCAAAAGGTCTCACACAGTCCAGGTTCATACAGTGAAACTGTCTTGAGTAAAGCAGCCGTCCTCCTAATCAGTCCTCCAGAGCATGCACGTGCATAGGGGGGGTGCAATGGGTGCTTGAGCACCTGCCCAGTTTTAGTATTTTGATATCTTTGCTGTATGGAACTGATCACCAGTATAGTCTAATATATCATCAAAATGCACCAATTGGAATCCTGGAATTATTAGATAATCAGCGCGTCTGGCAGACAGATTTTCCCTGCTCAGCCTCTCGGTGTCTACATTTTAGTTTTTAGATAGACGTCTATATTTTTCAGCAAAAAATCTGCAACAATGGAGCGGAGAATGAGAACACAGCCCCAAATACAGCAGCGCCTCAAGTATCTCATCACAGTCATGTCCATGCATCTCCTATGAAGGGCAACAATGATCACAATCCACTGTTTATAATGGAGAAACAAAATGAACTGATTTCAATGCCGGTGAATCAACAATGCCTTTCATCATTGCCTAAGAGAGACATCCAAATATTTGATTGTGATCCACTACAGTACCATGCTTTCATGCAATCCTTTGAACAGGTTATTGAGGGAAGAACTGATAATGCTGAATATTGTTTGCATTTCCTGGGTCAGTACACCAGGGGGCAGGAGGCGGACTAAGGAACCGATGATGGCATGGCTGGGAGATCGGCTGAGATGTCGAGGAAGTCCAACACCCACCCTGGGAAAGAGTCTGCTGCTCCTGGCTGAGCAGCCAGGCTCTTCCAGGCGAGGGACACGATAGCTGCCTTATGGCTAATGTGACTAGCCCCAAACCACATATTCCTCAGGGCCAAAAGCTCCCTTAGCACGTCAATCTGTTCCTCAGTTAGAGTGTCTGCTGGGCTCTTAATTGGTCCGGTCATTCTGTCACAATCACTGGGTGCGCAAAGCAGGGGAGAGCCCAAACGTATGACACTGTGAGCAGAGATTGAGTTCCAGGGTTTATTGATCCCAAGCATGAAAAACGGAACTCCCAGGTACAGGAAACTGGTAACATCCAAGAGCAGCAACTTCATACAACAGGGAATTCATGCGACAATGACCAGACAGGGAATGAACAGAAACACCAGACATTTATACACAAGGACTAACGAGCAACACAGGTGACAGGGATCAGGGTTAACGAGGCAGAGAGACAGCAGGGGGGAACAGGGAGACGCAGATGCAAAACACAGAAGTACACAGACCGGGAGTGAACATTTAACACATAAACTAAGGTACAGGACTAAGATACGAGGCAAGACAGATACTAAATAAGATGTGGATGAATAATAAAGGCTAAACAGAGACTAGAGCTGAATGAACAAAATCAGATTACTGAAACTGGCAGAGAACATAAATGACACCTAACCAACTATAACACAGGGATCATAACAGAGAAATTAGAACACAGAGTACCCAGCAGACTAAACCCAAAAGATGCAGAGAAAGAACTAGAATCAAATACTACCACAAGAACTAAAACACAGGACTAGGAACACAGACATGGAACAAAAACCCAGACTCCGCAACAAGACACACAGACAGGACTGAAAACCAGACACGCTCAGGACAGGATCGTGACAAGTACAGCATTTGTGAGCCACACAACTTCAAAAACAAGCTCTGTCGCGATTATCTCTCAGTGGGAGAGATCAAGGAAGCCGAGATGCAGGTAATAAGATTCTGTCAGAGAAGAAGGTTCTCAGAAGAGTTCTCAAGTCTCCAAAAGGGAGTGTGTGTGAAAAGAGACAGTCACAAATACAAGATGAATCCTATACTGGATGATGGTGTATTGAGAGTTGGAGGACGACTTAGTAAGGCTGTCATGTCCGAAGAGTCCAAGCATCCTGCCATGCTAACTAAAGATCTTCATATTAATGACCTCATTCTGTGACACATTCATCAAGAGGTTGGTCATGG